AAGCTTCTTCAGCTCTCCCAGGCCGTCCGTGATGCGGGACACCAGGTTGTACATGCGGCCCAAGTCTGACGCACACGCAAGAGCCATCAACACGTCGTTCCTTCAAAGCAAATGGTCCCGTTGCCCCGCCCCGCGCGGCTTACCTTCATTCTTGTCAGCATCCAGAAGGTTCTGGAACTCGGTGTGAAAGATCTCCAGGTGCTTCTCGATGAGGACCTGCTCGCACTTCCTGGCCAGCTCGTCCTGCGTGGACTCGTGGAGGTACACCTGCACGCGCCGCTGCTCCTCCAGCAGCCGGGCCTCCGCCTAGCGTCAAAGCCCACCGTTGACGTCTTCGCCGTCGCCATCGGCGCCGAAGTGCGCGCCTACCTTCTTCATGTACTCGGTGACGGGGTTCTGTTGCAGGAACTCGGTGCTCTCGCGCGTGTAGAAGCGTTCCGTGTCGGTCAGGAACTGGCACTCAAAGTATTCCTTGTAGACGGACAGCGTGGGGCCTTTGGCGAAGGCGTCCTCCTCGTTCAGGCCCAGCTCCACTAAGGCGGCGCACACACACACACACACACACACACACACACACACACACACACACACACACACACACACATTTCAAACAAACGTGATTTTGTGATCTTTGAGCGTGCGAGTGCTGGAAGGCGCCGCTGTTCCAACCCACCGTAAGACTGGACCACGCCGCTGATGAGGCGAGTGTTGATGGTCTCGCCATTCCTCTCGCGCTCGATGAGCTTCAGCACAGCGTTTGTAACCTGCCGCACAAATTCCACATCCAAATACGGCACATGACAAGTGAGCAGGTCAAGTCAACACACACCCACACACACACACACACACGCACCTGTTTATTGAGGGGTCGAAACAAACACTCCCTCCAGGTGACCAGGGCCAGCTGCAAACAAGAACACAGCGGCGGACGTGGTTAGCGGACGGCTGAGGAAGAGGACAAGAAGGAAGTGGAACAAGGGCGGAGAACAAAAGCACGAAGAGGAATCTTTGACTGCTTCCCCAATGAAGAGCTTTTTATCAAGCGGACCACTCACTGAAAAAAAAAATCCCTCTGTCGTGATGAAAGGACGAAATCATTTTGAAGGCCATGAATGATGTGACCGACGTCACATCATTTCAACGTAGCAGATCAAAATGTGTTTCAGCGGCCGTTTTGTTTTGAGTGACATGGCCCTCAAATAAAATGATTTTTTTCCCGATTTGCTTGATGAAAAGCGCACGTCACAGCGGCCAAGTGACGAGAGGACTCGCCCAACGAGCGAATGGGCAGCGAGGGCCTCGGATCCCAACCCCAGCCACGGAACGGAACGGAACGGCGCTCCCTTCTGACCGAGTAGATCTCGTAGATGCCCTTGCGTCCCTCGTCACACTCCCGTCTGACCCAGTGGCGGTTGAGGTAGGCACAGATCCCGTTGAGGACTTTACTGGAGAAGCGGTAATCCTCCCACTGCTGAGTGTAGAACTTGAGCACGCACTCATCCATGAGGTCTTCTCCGTCCTGCCGCGCCACACCAGAGACGTGCGTTGTGTTGCGAGCGCTCGCTGTCTTTTTTGGTGAGCCGAGTGTCGAGACGCGGCGGCGGGGGGGACTCACCTTGAGCAGGCTTGTCAGGTAGTTCTTTAAGAACTCCTTGAGCCTCTTGTAAAGCTCCAGTCCCACAAATTGGGCTCCGCCCGGAGTGCTGGACTTTTTGGAGGGCTTGCTGGGGGGCACCGAGCCCCTGCCCTGGCTGGACTGGTGCACGCTCGTGCAGTAGTTGTACACGTGCCTGACGGGAAGCGTTAAGGCAACAATGTGGGTGCATGCATGGCATTATCTTCTCACTCAGCATGAGGAGGAGGACAGACTGACAGAGAAAGCGAGAGCATGAGGTAGAGAATAAGAGAGAGAGAGAGAGAGAGAGAGAGAGAGAGAGAGAGAGAGAGAGAGAGAGAGAGAGAGATATGGGTTGCGGATACGTGTAGAGTTCCATGTATCTGGACTTGGCCATGCTCTGTCTGGTGTAGACCTGCTGGATGCCGGCCCGCAGGTCGTCCCAGATCTGGTCCAGGCCGATCGGCTTGAGGCCGTGCGGGTTCTGGGTCCGGTTGGACGACATGGCGGCGGCGGCCGAGGCTTCCCTGGCGCTGCTGCGGGGTGGTGGGGCCGTTCTCCGGCGAGAATGCGGGCAGAGCGGCGCGCGGCTCTCAGAGTGCGCGCTCCATGGGGGGGCGGCGTTGGCGACGGGGTGGGGCAGGGCTGCGCTCCCGCTGTGCACGGGCAGGTGGCGCTGTGTGGCGCTCCTACACCGCAGAGCTTCCGCGCTCGTCACCAGCACACCTGGGGAGAGAAACGGTCAACTGATGGGACTTTGGGAGGCTGATGTCCATTCGGATATTCGGCGAAATTCCATTGCGAGAGGCTATTTTTTGGCCATTGCAGTCCAAAAATATCTATTGAATAAAACAACTATTTTTGGGTGCCATCGCATAAAAGCTTCAGTAATATGGATTTGACCCCGTGTTGTCATTTATAGCTATGGCCTTTCGGAAAAACACAGCAGCTCAGCAAAGAAGCGCCATTGAACAAATTTCAACATATACAAAACTCAACTCAACTGTATTTATAGAGCACTTTCAAACAGCCATCGCTGCATACAAAGTGCTGTACATGGAGCAATTTAACATATACAACAAACAGTTAAGCAAATCGGTAATAAAGACGGTAGAAAGCACCGAACAGCAAAACCAAGAACAAATCTAAGTCATCCTGAGTCAAATGCCAAAGATAACAAGTGAGTTTTGAGGGGGGTTTTGAAGATGGGCAGCGAACAAAACACACAAAAAAAAAGAGATAACAGGTTTCCCTCACAAAAAAAAAAAAAAGGCCCTTTTTTAAAGTGGGAATTCACAGAAGAATTCCAATGATGCCAGTAAAGGAATTTAAAAAAAAAAAAATCTTAATGGATCAATTGTTGTCCCGGTGCGACCGAAGAGCGCAGGAGTTACGCGATGGGCTTCACAGTTTGCCGTCACGCAGCTAATTACAGATTAGTCCACTAAACGCCGCGTCAACACCACTTCTGTTTGGCACTCCTCAATCTTCCTCAATCTGTCAAGAACGTGCATGTGAGCCAGCGTCTACGAGAAGACAAGACGGAGAAGCTGCAGCCGTTACCATGACAACAAGGCAAGATGCCGGAGGGGTGAAGGATTCCCCGCAATCATTGAAAATTGACGGTCAAGAGACAAAAAGACTCTTTTTAATTAGTTGGACCCCTCCCGAACATGTTCAACTAATTAAAAGAACTTGTTTTTGAGAATTCCTTCGCAGCCGTTCTCACTCGCTGACAAGATATGGGAGACTACTGAATTACATCATTTGGAGGAAAAGCAGATGACTCTCTTACTTGCTCTTTTTCCCCCAAAAAGAATCCGAGCGTGCTTACTTCAATCTGTTTGTCACTCCTTGCTTAAGTTTACTGTAAAAGTGACACGTGAAATAACAGACAATTAAACATTCTATATTTTAAAATCAAAATCATCAACCAAACCATTTTTATCAGATCACCCTGAACAATTATAGTACGAGACTTAATTTGGAGATGATGATGCTTCTTTAAAAAAAATATTTGAAACTTGAATGACCAGAATATGCTTCCAATGTCTTGAGTGTTTGAGGCGAAGCGTTGTCGCTCTTGGATCAGACGCTGCCATCACTGTCACACCAAATCCAGAAACAAATAGCGAACCAGAAAAATCATCTCCGCCTTACGGCGTGACATGAAACGCCCGTTCAACACCTGACCGTGTAGATTTGCTTTGAGCCATTGAAAAACGACCACTTTCGCTGAACGATTCTGTCAGCGTTTCATGTAAAAACATGAAAACGCGAAAGTCGATCCAAATCAGAGCAAGTAAGCGAACCAGTGGCTTGGAGGAGATCGTGATCTCGTCGGTGCCCTGTCACGATCGCCGAATTTTCTTTCCCTCGCGTCTGGCAGGTGGCTCGTTCATCGGCTACCATGTCAAACAATTCACGGCGAAAACGTAACGTGCCATCGGAGAGTTTTCCCCAGTCGGAACCTACTACGCCATCGAGCTAGCCGCTTAGCTCGTGGGCTAGCTCCATTAGCCCCGTTAGCTTCGGACGAGTTGCCTTCGAGGATGCGATTCGAGTAAAAGCGGCATCACGACTCGTGCTGGTTCGGCCGTGTCAACGCCTTCGGTACCGCTCGGTGAATTTTGGTGCTCCGAAGCTGGTCGCCTAGTGTGCTTGTGTTAGGGTTTAAAATGGCAGCCAGCCCCTCAATAATGAGTCAGGAAAACACACCGCTAGTCGTTAGCATTAGCCGGCTAGCTCAGAGGTTGCGGAATTGTCACAAGGAGGTAACCAAAATAAAGGACAGAAACAGAAAAAATACTCCAAAATGCGTCCTTACCATCTTTCTAGGCCGTAGCGCTCAGTGTGTAATCGTGGCTTGTGGCGGTCCCGGCGGTCGTGTCCTCTCACTCCAGCTACTCCTGTCGCTGCGGCTACTAACCCGCCGCTAATGCTGCGAAGTGCGGTGGCCAACTGCTGCTAAGTGCTAACTCGCTCTGCTTCGCACAAAGATCAGCTCAGCAAGCGCCGATTCATGCTGCCTTCGGGGAGACTCGGAAATACGACAGACGCAAATGCAAGTAAAAGCATGCCTGACAGTTCACCCCTCGGTAAGCATTGGTTTCATAGCAGTCAAGAATATTCCGCCATTTTCACCGTTCTACTCTTGCCACACCTGCCCACAGACTGAAAACATTCCAACGGAATCCCCCAAAGACCCAATTGCCCGACAATAAAAACATTCAAGTGAAGAGAAGCGAGACGTTCAAGCATAAAAATCGGCCCATCTTTCCTCCTCACGCGTGTATACCGATTCAACCCATTGCAGCTTGAAGTCTCACGTTCTCACTTTTCAGCAATTATATTTGAGTGCAGCTTCACCTCTTGATTCACACGCAATTTCAACACAAATTGCATTATCTGGTTTGTCGTGCATTTGAACAAAATATTAACAAGGACACTCAAAATACTTATTAAAAACTGGTGTCTTATGATTTTCATTTACAGTGGAATTCTATTCCACCAACGACGCCCTGTGAATTGTCTTCTTTTTAAATCCCTGCCTCTCCATTTCATGAAGAGTAAGCACTGGTTGTTCGGAGGAGTCATTGAATGCAGCGCTTACGTCACAGGATGGCATTGCGATGGGACTACAACAATGGCCGCCATCGCCTGAATGAGTTTTCAAGCATGCGCTTTGGACACGACACGTGACGTACCCGGAAAACCTACTTCGTACACCAATTCGCGATGGGACTACAACAATGGCCGCCATCGCCTGAATTAGTTTTCAAGCATGCGCGTCGACACGACACGTGACGTACCCGGAAAAACTACTTCGTACACAGATTCTCGTTTACGAAATGTAAACCCGAACCCTGCGAGACACGATTCACTATACTGTACTGAGATAATTAATATACGCTGAATGGTCGATGCAAACAGTGAAGTTTGTTCTTTGAGAGGCTCTCCGAACCTTGTACAGGGATCCTGGCGCAAAACACGCATTTATGTGTTGCCAGCCAAATTCTAACGCAATTTGTCAGTATCTGGCAACGCCGTGACCCAGTATGACTTCTTCCTAACGCAGACGCGATTCTCACACGTTATCGCAAATTGATAAACGGAGACAGACTGCGAGTGGCAGAAAATCTGATTATGTACTTTTCGAGACCACAAGTGTCACAAGACCAAGTTGGGGAGGGGAAAAATAAACATTTATTTTGCAATAATAACACTGGATTGTAGGTGTATAGGATGGAAGCGGCTGAGAAAAATATCAAGAAAAAAAGTTGTGGTCCAAGCTCAGGCATTGAGAATGTCCAGGAACCATCCACGGTGTCAGCAATGCAGTTGCAAATGGGGGACAGGAAAAGTGATGCTGGCAACATGACATCAGAGCCTTCACTTGAGAAGGTTCTCTTCTAATGAACTGCTGCATCATGGGAACTTGAACAGCTGTCACCCGTATTGGATGGTTGGCCGGTGCAAAAGCAGAACATGGAGGCGTGAGTGAAATACATTAGTCAAATGTTATACAGTACAGGTTTCCAATACCAATACAACTGGTTAGGAAGAGCCGAAGATGGGTGTTTACTGTTATTATAATTAAAACACTTCTGGCTGCGAGTCATTGACACAAACGCATCTGTAACAGAAGAAGCAAATATACATAATAGTGTGAAAGTGTTATTTTGTTGCTGTGTGAGACGCGGGGACGTGCATCCGAAGGTAGTGGGACGACGTGAGTTGGCGCCAGAGCATAGTATTTCCCAAAGTTTTTCAATGAAATGAAGGCCCTGTTTTCTCATGTGGTGTCATCAACACGTCTCCAGTAGAAATGAACCAGTCCCGTCCAGTGAGAACACGCACATCATCAGGCCGCCTTGATGACGTCACAGCGCTTTCTGCTTCCTCTTGTCTTGGCCTGCATCATTTCCTTCTGCTGCTTCAGTCGGACTTCCTCCAGACTCAAACAGCCCCCTTTGAAAAAACACACAGACACACCCACGCGTTGACACTTTGTTTTGAGCATTTCTAGGATCTGTACTGGATATTCTAAACAGGTTGTTGGCCAAAGTGTAAGAAAGGAGGCGGGGTGTGCTTGTGCCTCACCGACGCTGCTGGGCTGGATGTTGACGTAGGCCATGGCTCTGCTCAGTCTCAGCTCCTCCAGAGCCGCCAGCTCTGCCTCCGCCTCTGCTCAGCCAATCGCACCGGGATGGATGTAAACAATTACAAATTGCTTTAATTGCACACAGGTGGATTTACGCAGAATAAATATACCACAAATATGTGAATCACTCGATGCTCCGGTATACACTGCTGTCTTCAATCTTTTTACAATTCCGAGTGGATAAGTCATCAATGTCAATGTGTGGACTCACTTTTCTGGATATCTCTTCTCTTCTTGGGGTTTGGGGGGATGACAGTGAAGGCTTTGTGGCTGCAAGGGGGGAAAAAGGGCAAATATAAACAAGATGACAAAGTGAGGAGTCATGCCAGGATGCGACATCACGTGAAGAAGTCAGCAGCTTGATCCAGATTATAGTCTAGTGCGCTCCAAGTCAAAGCTCACATCAGCAGCTGCTTGCACGCAGCTACAGATGGCACGTGACCACACGTGCACACGCAGGTACACTGAAGGCTTTAATGTGACGACATGCACACGGGATGATTGCATTTGTGTTTTTTGCTTGTCCACTGGATGGGTCGCCTTTGGGCGGGCTCAAACCTATCCCATCTGACTGCAGGTCATACCCTGGACTGGTCACCGGTGAATCACAGGACACATCAAGACAAGCAACCATTCAAATGAATAGGACAAATTGGAGAGTATTCTCGAATGAACCAACCCTACATGCACTTTGGGAGTGTGGTCAGAAACGGGAGTGGTGCTGCATTGACAAACATGCAAACACCACACAGCAATGCCGCAGTCCTGATTTGCACACCCAACCTGCGAACGGTCAATCCAGTATACGTCAAATTGAAAATGTCCCCACTGTGGGCCTAAAAACGTTGCTCTTCTATTCTTTGAGCACATCATGGAGATGAGCGTTAAATTGACATTGTGGTGCATCAAGAGCAGGTCGACAAGCTTTATTGGGCGCCATCTCACCTGTGAATTGCCAGCTTCCGGATGTTCGCTCGCCCCCGCCATCCCGGACACTCGCTGTCCTCCCACCACTTTGCATCCCAGGCGGTGTCCTGCTCAACTGGAGCCCGGTCACGTCCGCCTCGGGCCATAGTAGATCTGGACCGGCTGGGGTGCGCGCAGCCTGACTGGGAGTGACCCCGGTTCTGCACCGGTCTGGGGCAGCTTGCCGCTCGCTTTTGGCACACCGGGGCCACTTGGAGCTTGACAAGTTTGGTCCTCTCCTCCGCCACTTTGTGTTTGGTTGTCTTTGTCGAAGGCATCTTCGAAGGCTCTAGTCTACAAATGTCACCTCCTCTGATGCGGACAACTTCTGCTCCAATGTAGTCACTTAAGTCTGTGTTTCTCGAGTGCCCCGGTTGCTATGGAGCTCCAACCACATAAGTTCTGATTGATTGAGCACTATTTCCGGTTAAAACCTTCACAATAGTAAGAGTTTGTTTTCGTGTGGCGATTTGTGGCTGGAGCTCAATTCATCGATTGCAGCCACCAGTCACTCTCCATGAGGTGGTTTTGCTACCAAACGAGCAGGAGGACCGATTCGTGAACGTGACGTCACACCAGCTCCTTTTTTCCCTTCCTCGCCTAATGTTGGAAGACAAACATTTGGTCGCGGATATCACGTTGTTTAAGTCGTGAGCTTGACGGAAGTGAGTGTCGTCGCATTTAAAGAGTCGTTGTCAAGTCCAATTTGTGTCACGATAGTCTCGTGACCGGTGCCGGTCGAGCCAATCGCCGTGTCAGACGTCACCAAGTGAACACTTTACGTGTGTTTCAGATAGTTTTCTACCTTACAGAAAACACCCCGTTCTTAGGATTATTGTCATTTCAATAAACCAATCAATGCAATGTACTGTGACTGCGTGCAAATGTAACTGTCAATTGAACTGTAATTTGATAATATGGCATTAGCAAGAGGACAAAATCAAATGTCATGGTCAGCTGCTGTCCCAAATAAATAAACTAACTTCCAGTATCAAACTGTTGCGCGATTTAAAAACGAATTGTTTGGTTTGTTTTTAATTCTAAGCAGTCATCCAGCGCTGTGCGTGGTGCTGTCTCGCTTTAGTGGGACGGACAAAAGTGTGTCGTCAGTGGAGAGACAGCGGGCCGCCGAGCTGACGGGCTGGCGTCGAGCTCGTAGCCGCCTGAAGTGGGCTTGGGCTGGCTATCTTTCCGTCGCGAACATGGACACAGAATGGCTGACAGACGGGCCACAAGGAAACAAAACACGACAAATCAACTTTGCCTGCGAGCTAACAGATGCCAGACACGCATAAGCAAGCGTGCGTGTTATAGACCTGAGATGTACATAGATCCAATTTTAGTTGGGGCAGCCCGTTGCTTCGAAACGGCAGCTCGTCCACCATATTGAATGTGTCAATTCTGACCGTAAACTAACGCAAGTTAATGGACTGAACCTCAGAAAGCGGCAAGACTACACAGTTAATGCGTCTCACCGACAAACTACACGCATATCTATTTGAGAAACAACATACGAAACTTTTGATTTGATACCTTCTAAATTATTATTCCGACACCTTGCTAACTTGACCTTCCTAGGGTACAACTTTTACAAGTTACAAACTGTTGCTTGCAAGTTGCTCTTTTTATGGGAGCAGATTGGGGGGGGGGGGGGGGGGGGGGGGGGGGGATTTACAGGCAAGCGGTGTTGGACCAGTCAAGTCGTTGAAGAGACAATAACTTCTGGCCTCTCCGGTCGTGAGCTCTTAGCGAAGGAATATGATGCTTGGAAAAAAAGTAAAATACATTGTTGTAGCGTTTTGACCTCCGGCTTGTCCAAATGTACACCTGTACTTACACACTTGATGCACTTTATAAAACAAAATATTTCTTTACATTCACTTCTATTATTTTATAATGCATTCCTGCAATACAGTGCTATTTTTCATTGGCGTCCTGCTGTAGACAAGACCGGAAATGGAAAAAAGTTGTTGAAGAGAGCAAGCAATTTATCGGCAGTGAAAATGAGATGCAATGTGACCATTTTTAATTTTTTTTAACCACTGTTCTACTGGTAGAAAAAAAAGTTTCGTCTGGAGACCTGGAACTTTGCCCCTTTCATTCACTGTGACATCTATATTTGAATGTCAGAATCCGTGTGATTTGGTTCAATGTGCATCACAAAGAGTGCCAGTTAAATTTTCCTTTAAAGGGATTATAAACAGTGCATCTCCGATTATAAAATTTAATAGAAATGTGTTCACCCGTGTAATGTAAAATTAAAAAAATCATTTTTTTGGGGGGGTGGGAACAGATAAATGGCGTTTCTTTTTTAATTTGGGAGAATTTCTACGTGCTTGATCACGGCACGAACTAAACATGTAATAACGTCAATATAGCACTTTTTGCACATTCAATATGGCGGCGATGTTTCCGTCCGATTCCGGGCCAAGGCGGGGCCTAGGTCTATCTATTTGAAGTCTCGGCCGAGTGTGGCTGTGACGAGGAAGTCACCGCTGACAGCGACGAGACTGCACTAGTACATTCGTCCAGCCTCGACTAGTAGCCTCGACTAGTCCGCTCGGATGGTGGGTTGAGCCAGCCACAGTCTCATCTCTCTCTTTTGCTGGCTGTCTTGCTGACACTGCTCGCCCGTTGTCGTGGTGACAATGTTCCGTGGGGCGGATGGAGCAGCGGATGGACCGGGCCGAAACGCTACGCTGACGCCAGGAGGCAAGAACCCGCCGAACCGAGCCAGCTGACACTTGCTTAGCATCACTCGTGTTGTTAACTGGACACTTTGCTAGCTGAGGCCTGTCTGCTTTCGTTTTTTTTTTCTTTTTTGGGGGGGACGCCCACTGTCAGTGTGAATCCACATGACAAGAGTGCACGGCGCTAATGCTCATCATTTTTGATACGATAAGAATGACAATGTGCTAACATGTGGATGTCGTGCGTGGCCGCGCACCTGCTTGCGTGGCGACGACGCCCAATGAGCAGAATGAATTATTTTCCCATTACAAGATCTATTGAGCCAAAGCACATATTTAACATGAGAAAAACGTCACGGCACAACACCGAAAAAGCGGCTACACAGGTCTATTATCGACACTGCCATCTACTGGAAGAGCATTTAATTGCCTGTCACTACACGTCGCTGGCAATGATAACCAGAACGTTTGAACATACAGTATTCTCAATTTAATTGTTTGCGATAAATACAAAAAATTCTTAATGAGAGTGATGAGGGTAAATGAACAAACACGTTCAAATGAACCAATTTAAGTAAAATTGAAGGTTAAAATTGATGAATTCTACAAGTACTTAAGGACTGCTGAAAACGTAAAAGCTCGGTGAACTGAGCCTTTGCTGTCGAAACGTCCCCGCTATTTTAAGGCTAACACTTAATGGAAAACGCCATTGACAGATGAGCATTAGACTCCGGCACCCTTGGAGCAAAAGCTATTTGAACAGAAATGCTGGAGCAACACATGAAGCCATACAATATTGCAATACTCCCAGGCATATATTTTTTTTTCTGGGCAAAAACAACAACTACAAAACAAAAAGCGAGTAATATCGTAATATCGCAGCTGACCGAATCCCAGAGCAGTGTTGACTCTTACTCAATCATGTCTGTATGACTGTATTACGCTGCCTCCTGGTAGTCAAAGCAGAAACACTGGAACGAGTATCTTCATTGAATTGAAGTGTGATGATGCACTGTTGAATTTCTTACATTCAGTTTCATCATAGTGTTACTCTTTGTTATATCAAGTAAAATATTTAGAGTGCTATTCTCCTTATTCAAAAACACCCAGTACTTGTACTCAGTCACTCAGTACTTGATTGTAATTGCATGTTTATCTTTAGGCCGCTAAAGCTTTGCAGGATGGACAAGGAGGCAGTTGGTTCGAGCACATCAGAACGTGGACTGACCTCCTCTGACACATCCTCATCCCCGGGTGCGCCGGCGCCGCCCCGCCTCACCCCCAACCCCATGCTGCTGCTGGACTCGCCGGTTCCCCTGCAGACACCTGTCACCTCCTCCCCGCCACCACCGCTCACCCCAGCGCCCTCCCTCTCCGCACCCAAAATGGTGGCGGCAGCGTCTCGGACTTCCTCTCCTCACATCCTGGTCCCCGTGCCCCCCAAACTGATCACCACGGCGAGCCCTGCCCTTCGCACATATCCTCGCCCCATTCTTCCCTGCGCCTCCAAAACCACCCCGCATACCTCGTCGTCTTCTGCAGAAGACGGCACTTCTTCTGCGTTGTCATCAACGTCCACCTTGTCACCCAAGATGTCCAGCACGCTGACCAATGGGAGCGCAAGGAGCGTTCCCACACCCATCTGCAACACCATCACGCCCTTCCACACACCCGCCAGTCCACCTGGAAGACAGGTAGCGCAACGCTCTCCCCTGCAGGAACATGGCAGTATTACACCCTGGAGATGCTGGCTTGGTACTATTTATTACAGTTACCTGGGCAACCATAGAAGCAAAGCCGGCGTTATTGTTCTGTTCAATGCCTGTAGTAGCGTCAGCATGTTAAGCTCATTTGAAAAACATTTATACAAAGCTAACAGTAACCCGACTGTGTGCAGGCGACACTGCCTCACCCGGCGAGCTCGCTGGGCCCCCCTGCTGCCAGGCACAGGACTTCCCAGCAGGCTTTGCTCCTGGGAAAAAGTCTCAAAGGCCCCGGACAAGAGCAGGTGCTGCTCAGAGCTCAGATGGTAAACATGCACACGCACACACACACACATGCACGTCCACGGGGATGTTGCCGCGTCCATGGTGACAGTGTAGGGAACCTCTGGGAGGTTTCTAGTTACCATCAGTCTACACACAGTTGTGTACAATGTGCAGTGCCATCGTGACTTACGAGTGCCACAATAAATACATGAACTAAGGTCAAGTGAATTAACTCGTGCAACGAGGATGTGTTAGTGCCATCGTGACTTACGAGTGCCACAATAAATACACTAACTAAGGTCAAGTGAATGAACTCGTGCAACGAGGATGTGTAATCAACCAAAAGGCCCTCCGGCACAAAAAAAAAAAAAAATCAAGACGCTCCAGTTTTCATGCCAAGGGGACATGAATTGTCTTCGAAAATAGAAGTGCAACATGTTCAATGTACTTCTTGTGACATTTTCATTTGGCGAGGTGCGCTCTTTAAAATGTTGGAATCTGTGCTTTTGCTAATTAAAGTTTGGGAAAGGCTGTATTAGTTAAGGTGAGGGAAGTGGTTGTCTTCTTTTGCTTGCAGTTGATTCTCACATCTGCTATGCGGGCTGGCCCTTCCTCCTCTTCCCCCCCCTCCGCCCAGGTGAGCAACGCGGGCATGCCAAGCGTGAAGCCCCCTGCCTCGGCCCCACCTCCGCTCTCTCGCCCGCAGACGGCACTCTTCCCTCTTCTGAGGCCGCGCCCCCCGTCCGCGCCCGGCCGACACCTGGCAGTGCCGCCTCCAAGTAAGCCAGGCTTTGTTCTGTTCATTCGGGACTGACAAATGCAAGATGATCGATCGCTTAATTCGGAACGTCTGTCAAGCAAAAAAAAGCTCATGAAAAAGTATCTTCGAACATCCCTAAATGATGAAACGGGGATGCTTTGGATAGTTGTCAGAAAGTGCTCATGTTGTCAGCTTATGCTCATCTTTTCTGTCTTTCCTTGGTCCAAAGCGCTCTACTCACCGGTCCGAGCCGTCCCCCTGCGGCCCAAACTTCAGTCCGCGCAAGCACCGTCGCCATGCCTTCCTTCTGCTCTCCAGACGCCGCCGGCCAGCCGGCCCCAGACAGGGGTCAGCATCCTTCCCGCAACCGCCCCTCTGCCCGCCGCGTCGTCCTCGGAGACGGCGCCGTCCGCATCCCGGCGACTACAAATCATCGCTCTCTCCTCGGCTTGGCCACCGCCGCCTTTCGCCAAAAACGCGCGGCCGACTTTGAGCAGACGGGAAGCGCTTCCGCCTCCTCAAATCGCCGCTTCGCCTCCCCGTCAGAAGGAGAGCGACGCTCTGCAGGGAGGCCTCAGAGACATCCAAGTGGCTGAAAATGACCAAAGAAAGGAAGCTGAGGAGGAATCGAACGCGACGGAGGCGGAGAAGGATGCCGACCTCCTGCAGCGAGGCCAAATGGATGTGACGGAGGAAGGTCACGGTGTCGCAACGGCGCACGGCGACCGGGAACACCCCATGGAGCTCCAAGAGGAAGGGGACAGTCAGCCACAAACACTCAAAGAGGAAAAAAAAGCAAAATCGCACGTCAGAGAGACTTCACTTCCGGAAGAACTTCCCGTCCGGCATCTGGAAGCGCTTCCTGTCCCACATCCGCCTCCAGAGCCTGGCGTGAACGCCATCAGACTACCGGAGCTTCCTGGAGACAAGGCGAGCAAGGAGGAACTCTGTGATGACATCAGTGACGATAAAAACGACAACATCAATGAGAACGTGTCCGCGCACTCTGACAACCACTCAGGTAACACTTCCTGCGCACGTGTGTCCTTGATGTGGTGATGCAAAGTGTATGGCGTAAAAACGATTACGTTACTTTGCAGCGCTGTCTTGATGTTGTGTAGTGTCCTTGTCTCAAGTGTGCCATGAGATGACCTGTGTTTGCGTTGTTGTTGTTTCAGCGTTGTCCAGCCTGTCGTCGCAGTCTCCGCCGTCGTCCCCGATGACTGATCCCGCCTCTCACGCTGCCGCCCAGCCGCTCAACCTCAGCCAATCGCATCGGGCCGTGGGCGACGGGAGTCGGGGGGCGGGCCAAACCCCGACGGAAGTGGAGCCGCCTCTCGACCGGTCGGAAGACGAGGTCGAGGGCCGAGCGCCGGACGGGCCGTGGGAGTCGAGGGCGTGGCCTGAAGGCAGGGACGTCTTGACGCACGTGGTCGAAGGCTTCGTCATCCAGGAAGGACTGCAACCCTTTCCTGTATGCACACATGAAAAGACACACACACACACACACACGATTGTAATACTCGGCTGCGTGAAAATCAAGTGATGTTCTGTCACCATTGAGTTGACGTGCCTTTTGTTGTTGTATTTTGCAACAATCTCCTGTTTGCGTCGTTTCAGGTGAACCGCTCGTCGCTGCTGTTGCTTCCTACGCCGCCGCAGGTGCAGAAAGTGAACGGGAGCGAGGGCCAAGCGGCCGTCACGGTAACCGAGGAATCGACGGAACGCTGGGAACATTTGACAGACTCGCAAGACGAGGACGGCAAAGACGAACAACAACATGCAACGCGTACGAGATTCTTTAGCTGCCTGGGCAGTTAATGTTAAAAAAATGACAATCCATCTGAAAATGGTAGAAATATCACGGAAAATTTTCCCCTCGTTGTGGGCGGTGGCCACTATGTAGCTTACCTCCTCCTCCTTTTGTCTTCAATTGATGTTGTCCTCTTGACTTGTGCTGTCTCTGCGTTTCAGGCGCTTCCCATTGCGAGCGCGCCGTCCTCCACTGCCAGTTCTGTGGCAAGAGAGGCCACGCCCACAACTTCATGCGCTCCAAACGCTTCTGCTCCACTTCCTGCGCTCGCGGGTGAGACAAATAGCTTCTTGAGTCGTAGTCACTTTCCGTAGTCGTCCTCGGCTGCGAGGGCATCATCGTCGATGTTGACAAAACTGGGCTGTGAAGGCGCAACATCTGAGTTTTGATTTGGAGGCCAAATGGCCCGGCCAAAAGTTGTCGCGATGAAGTCGTCTCTTGTCGTCGTCACCGGCAGGTTCAACGTTCGCCTGACGAAGCGCCTGCGAGCGCTGAGCGCCGGCAGCCGCGCGGAGAAGCCGCCCCGACCGGTCCTCAACAGGGCGCAGTCCGTCCCGGGGAAACCGATCCTGCTCAGACTGGTGAGAAAAACGCAACACCGCACTTTGGATTTGTTGGCGCCTTTCAAGCATGTTTGTACGTCGACCTCACACTTTGGAGCTTCTGGACTCGAGCGTGTTGTCTCATGGCTCACGTGGCCAGTCCAGGTTGTAGCCCAACATTTAAACATTCATCTTTGGTCGTAGTATCCCAGATGTCCTCACAGTCAACTTGTAAACACAACTTTTTGATGTCTCCGCAGCCTCGCGATCTATGGAGCGCCGGACGCAGAGACAAGGAAACCAAGGAGGACAAGAAGGTCGTGGCGACGGAGGAGGAGGAGGAGGAGGAGGAGGACATGGAGGCAGCTGGTGAGGAGGAAGACCAGGAGGACGAAGGGACGGAGGAACCAGCGGTTGCCGTGACAACAAGGATGGAGAGTCCGGCAGCAGAGAGAGCGAGGACGTCGACGACATCGGCCGTGGCGATGGTCACCGCGTCCACGCCCACGAGCACCTTTAAGCCCGAGCCCTCGCAGTGGACCGTCGAGGATGTCACGGCCTTCATACACACACTGCCTGGTAAGCGATTTTTCTCACGCACACACACAGACACACACTTACGTGCATATGTTCGCGTTTTAGGCTGCGGAGAGGTTTCGGCGGCTTTCCGTCTTCAGGAGATCGACGGCCAAGCGTTGCTTCTGCTGACTGAAGAACATCTGATGGGCAGCATGAACATCAAACTGGGACCCGCGCTCAAGATCTGCGCGCACATCAACGCGCTCAAGAACCCGTAAGGAGCGCAACCGCCGCGACCAAGGAGGACGCGTGTAGCACGAGGCACATCAATCTGAAGGCGAATAATAATGGGAGTCATTTTGTGTATAAGCTGCTGAAGACTTGAAGGATTTTCAACATTTAATATATCAAATTTGTCTATTTAGTTTTTTTAGAATGTGTAGTCCAAGACAAATCTATGCCGTAGCTCACATAACCACTGTGTATGTGTGTGTGTGTAAAAATATGACAAAAAAATCAAAATAATGAAAGGTGACCTTTGTACGTGATTGCTGAAAATGTGATGTTTTATATTCCCCACCAACAGAAAACAAACCTGCACTCTTAAACTGTCACATTTTTATGATATACTGCTTGGAAATATTTAATAAAAGCAATTCATCTTACCTTTGCTGGAGCCTTTATTGTTTCCAATGCAATCGTCAGCTAATACGATTCCATGCCATGCAAGTTTTTACCTGCAGTCAAATCCAACATGCAACACAATCGGACAAACGCTGGACAGGTGGCTATTCGATGCCAGCTTTTGGAAAGATGATGACATCACAGAACGACATGCAAACTTCCCCATCAGCCATTTTAATATTCATGTGTGTTGTCCTGCAAAACCACAAGCAAAGGCCTTTTTATAAAATATATTTTGTGCAATATGTGACCAGCCCAACACATGAACAAGGACATATGTGGACAATGTGATTTTCTGATGCATTTGTCCCACACGCAGGCGGGTGATATACGAGGAGCCCAATTTCCGCAGCCGCGTTTGTGCTGGATCGCGGCTAATGCTGCGGCCCCGGCGCAAAACTCCAACATCCAATCCATCCGACGAGTGGTCAACTACTTTTGAAGAATTTTTTTTTTCCCATGTCAACCGTGTCCAGACGTCCGAGCCATCGGACGCACTTGCCAGGGTTTGCCAAAATAAAAGTATGACATTGTTTCCAGACCAATGTGTCCTCCGACGTCACTTCCTGTTGCACACGTAGTACAAAATCAAGCTCCTCAAAGTCCATCCGTCCATATGCTTCTCATCATCGGGCCCATTTTGGGGGACGCCCTTGATCAGCTCTCGTTGCCAGTCAGTCAAAGGTCACACAAAGACAAACAGCCCTTCCCACCTTCAGCGAAGCAACGCGTTTTTTGGCACAATTTGAACCCAGAACCTGAGAAGTGCGAGGCAGTCGCGCCGACCGCTCGTCCAGTCAGTGTGCGAGGGATCGCGCCAGGTGCGTCTTGATGGTGTTGATGAGCTGCATCTCCTCCTCCAGCGTCAGGTCCAAGTAGTCGTCCTCGTGATGCGGGATGTCCTCCAGAACCTCGTTCACAAGCTCGCTGTCATCTGGCGGCCCAAACACATTTCCATCTCATTTTAGCATGGCTTTCTTGTTTCAATGGCAAAAATTCAAGTTTCATATTGAATCGCGATAAAAATGTGATCATGCGGTCTTCGAGCGGTTGACAACAATAAATAAACTTTGTCGGCATAACATCTCCGCCCGGCGCTTGGTCAACACTTGGGCCCAAGAAGCTACTGCATTTGATGGCGGTGCCAAAGGTAAAAAGCTTCATTACCGCATGTTGCTTTGGGGTCTATAACATTAGCCGAGCAAGAGGAAACATGAAATTGTCAAATGAAAAGTTAACAACATTGGTTGGAGGCATCCGTTTCCCAAATCCTAAAAATTCCGAAACGGGTCAGAGGCATTCAGTTTTCAGGTTGACACTTTTGGACTTGCGTTGGTTTATACGAGCCTGTGTCACAACCAAGATGGCGAAGACCTACCCGTGGAGCTGGACGAGGTGCTGGGCTCCTCCTCCGAGGGGGGCGTGGCGGCCGAGGGGACGGCTCCCCGGTTGTCCATTAGTAGCTCGGTGGCCAACTGGACGTCGCCGCCGGTCAAGGCCAGCGCCGCCTCGGACGGCGACCGCTCAAAGCCCAAATATAACAACTGCACAAACGAACGGATGACATATGAAACTATTAATGTGCTCATGGGAAAAGTCCAAATTGACAACGTGCGCTGTTTATATGCATGCACGATAAAGGACAAGCAACGACATAAAGACACGCAATTGACTGGTCGCCAAAAGTTGATGGAACTGAACGCAATGGACAGCAGGAGGGTGAGCAACCTGCTGGAGCTTCTCATTGGTGTTCCAGTCGGACGTGGCGAGCGTCTGGCTGGCGTCCAGCAGGATCTGAAAGCGAGCGGCAAAAGAAGGTGAACGCTTCGTGGTCCCGTCCCGCGGCGACTCGCGAGGTGAGCGTGCTGACTTGGAAGGCTTGGTCCACGTTGCCGTCGGCCCGCTCGAGTGCAGTGGCGGCGTCCCGAGCGGCATAGCCCGCCTCAGCCAGGATTGCCAAGCCAGCCTTGGTCTGCTGCCGCTTGCGACGCTCCCGTTGCCTTAGCTCCTCCCGCTCCTGATCGCCGCGGCAACGGCACATGAATGAGACGTGCGGAAGAAGTCACAGTCGTACCTCTAAAATGGTTTTCATGTATGCACTTCAAGTTAAATAGCCTTTCCTCCGCCTTTGCCAAGCAAGCCCGGGTCCTACATGTTGTGGACTTGGATTAAGAGACGAGCGGTGGCACCGGGGCTGCACGTTACCTGTGTCTGGTTGCTGATGAGCATGGCGGCCTCGTGCACGTCGCCATGACACGCTCGCAGACCCAGTCGGGCTTCTCGCTCGCTGAAGCCCAGCACCATCAGCTGAGTCATTTTGTCCGTGTCGGGACACAAGCGTGTGTACAGCAACTCCACCTGATGCAAACGCAAGACGGTCACCGGGTGTCCATCTTGCAAACGGCGAACTGAGCCAACTGGACACTTGTTGGGGAGGCACAGTGAAAAACTGGACAGCGAGCGCTTCCTACTTGGTCGAGTTGCTGCTGGGCTTGATGGTCGTTGCCGTCCACGAAGGCCAGCAGGCTCTGTAGGAGGTGCAGGCGCAGGAACAGCACCTCCTCCCGCCCCGTGTTGCCCTGCACGCACACACGAGATCATTCCCAACCCCAGGAATACCAAAAGGTTTTTTTTCTCCGACATTTCACTGAAATTGCCGCGTGTGTGTGTGTGTCTGTGTGTGCACGCGCCGCACGGACCTTGATCATGAGCAGCCTCTGTTGCTGCTCGCCATAACATCTGAGGAAGCAGTCCTCGGCCAGGCGCAGACGCTCGCGCCCGTCGTCCAGACACGACAAGGCCTCCAACGCTTGGTAGCACCAAACGATGTCGAGCTGCAGCACGCCGTAGTTGTCAACGGCGCCCAGCAGCTCGGAGCCGCACTCGCTACGAGCACCCGCAGAGAACATCGTCATCCTCATCGTCATCCTCGTCGTCGAGACCGTCAGCTTACCTGAAGTGGAGGTCAGCCTGCAGGAGGTGACAGAGTGCATCGTCGTGACGTTTCCTCTTCATCAAGGCCCGCCCCTTCTCATGGAGGCCCATGGCGAGGATCAGTGCCTGCAAGTCATTTGGAGTTTTGAGCTTGGAGGCGACTGGAAGCGGCGTGCGCGGACTGCCGCCAGGGCTGCGTCAAATGGCCAGATCATAGACTCAGATTGCTTTCCACATGAATCAAGATTCTTGGTTTCGCTTTTGGACAACAGCAACGATATTACACAGATGTAAGAATCTCCAGAAATGTAACTATGACTGTGTCCAGTATCCATGAGTGTCCCACCAACCTTCTTCTCCTTGTGGGGGATCTTCAGCGGGTTTCCCTTCTGGTCGGCGACCTCCAGGAAGGGCGTGGTCTGAAGGCTGTCGCTGCCGTCTGTCAATCACAAGCGTTTCTCAGCGTTCTCTGAGGTTCCAGAGGGTGAGCACATGCCAGGTTTACCTCTCTCGGAGAGGATCTGGAAGCCTCTATGCGTGCGTTGAACGCTGTGGTCATGCGAAGTGGACTGCGAGGCGGCAGTGGCGTCGCTACCGTCCTGAGAAGTGGACGGCCCGACGCCGGCGGCGCTGACCTTGAGGACCATCATCTTGCTGTGGTTGCAAACACCCTGCTGGTCCAGGCGCAGGCCTGAGTCGGGTTGCAAAATCAACCAAGTCAGAAATTGAAGGAATGGACGAAAGAAACCAGAAAGATGCAGCAGGGTAGACTCTTAATAGGGAACTAAATATAATTGGAGAAAATTTTCATAATCTGGACTCAAACAAGTACAGGTTAATATTAAGAGCCCATAGCCTGAAAGGCATTTTTAAAAAGCTTGATAGGAGATGAAAAAGATGTATTATTTGTATGTTCAATGGGACAAACATCAAATATCATCAAATGCCTTCTCCACTCACCGCCATTCAGAGTTTTCCCGTTTAAAATCACCTTGAAGGATTTGAGGCCGACTTCTTTGGCGATCCTGACGCACAGTCCAAAGTTAGCTTGTTAGCACCATACACAGACATTGGTCGATTCCGTAATTGGTATAAATTGTACCAATAGCTGGTGTCAAACACAGCTTACCTGTCCATCAACTCCTGAGCAGACACGTCCAGCCTGGTCTCCAAGAACAGCCTTGACTTGTTGTCCTGGAAGCAGCACGGACACACCGTGATGAGCACAATGACGACTACAGCGGACCTCTATTTATGGGGAGAGGTTCCAGACCCATGAAAATTCCCAATACAGTCTCAAAATATAGTTCTGCCCATCCTACATTTCTTTTAGGACAATCAACGTTATTAAAACACACCTAAACGTATTGTTGTTTGTGACTTTATTCCACAATTCCAATGTTTCAGTTTCATAAATCCAAAATGAGTGCAGTTGTCATACATGGCCAGTAGGAAGCAAGCTAAAAAAAGCTACCAGACCGTGCCTTGTTACAAGAGTGAGAAAGTAAGCAGCTGCTATTTGAGCACAGGCAGAGCAGCAACACATTGCAAGTAAAGCCAAATAGAAGGTCTGTTCTAAACTGGCACTAAAAAGGTCGGTACGAGGATGACAAAGGGGAGGGATGAGGACACAAGTGTACCGGTACCTTGTTGCAGTCTCGTGGGAGCAGCAGCTCCACGGTGGCCATGTTGGTTTCCCTGAAGGTCTGGTTCCGCTGACCTCTCCTCAGCGCCTGCACGCGGATGACCTCCAGAGTGCCCGCGATCTCTGACCCGGGCATACGCAACAGGACCCCGTAGCGCTCCGCTAGCTCCTGAAACGCCAAGCGGAAAGTAAAACAAACATTCAGCACCAAGGTCATAAAAATATTTATTGATCCGTGCAAGAGAAGGCATAAATGAATAATGGTCATACTTGAGGGCAGTCTGTTGGATGAATGCTTAGCCCCAGTTAGAATTTTGTTTTTGGCCATCCTGTGTGCACTGAACACCTGTGCTCAAGCTGTTTTTGTTTTGTGCGTACTTCCTGGCAACTTCAGAAGACTCAAACTTGTCCAAAGGTGTGAACATGTGTTTGTCAGATTGTGCCCTGCATATGTCCTGACCTTGACTGGCAACGGGCCCCCAGTGTTTGCCCAGATGTACCAGCACTGATTTTGATTGGGAGGAATGTCTGCGACTGGATGAATGGATGGCTTGTGGAGTCGACGATGAGAAGAAAGGAGAGTCAGCGCTTGATGAGTGCAAGTAGTACCTGCATGTGCTCGTCTCCGGGCTGTTGTCCGTCGAGGGTGTAGGGCGCCTTCCACAGTTGGATCTTGTCCTGCTTCAGGAGCTTCTTCACTTTCGCTTCCACGTTCTGCTCCGCCATCCTGTACAAGGACCTGAGTGACGTCACAACATAGTGCATCAGCTAATCGAGCGTCAGAAAAGTTGCCTTCGAGCCATTAACTCAGTACATTAACGTCACGCTACGTGACGTCACGTGAAAGAAGTAGGACCGAGCGTGTCAAATGGCTCGACGTGAGCGCTTCCGGCGTCTTTGCGAACAACTTGTTGGGAGTTTCTTGGCCATATTTTGTTTCTTACCTACTTCCTTTGCTTTCCGATCTTCAGGTCAACGACGCTACCGAAGATGTGCTCGAGTGCAAAGAGCACTCACTCGGATAGCCGTTCACAGCGACACAAAGCTGCTCGGACACTGCTTTGAGCAGTGACGCCACTGTATATAAGACACGATCTTTGCTGCCACTTTCCGGAAACGGAAGTTGACGCAAAAACAATAGCAGCAAAGTTAGCGAGTCGTCACAAATGAATTTGACGTCCTTCTGTGTTCACTTTACGGCTTCCATTACTTGCTGCTTAAACACGGCGCCTTACTATTCCAAAACATTCATGTGAAAAGGTTAGCTCACCAACTTACGTCACTTCCTGTTTTTGATCGATCGTATTGGTCGCCCGCTAAGCCGGCAGGTGGCAGCACTGACCTGATAAGCGACAGGAGAGGTACTGAAAACACGAGCAGACGAGTCGGTAACCTGAACCAGATCAACGTGGAATTATGTGGAAGGAAAGATAGAAAGTACACTGGGACACTTAAGTTGAATCGGTCACCAGATGCACCAGTTAAATATCTTCACTAAATAATTTAAGTGTGAACGTATTTCGAAAGTGAGATGAATAGTCCACTGAATAAATTGAACCGTTCCAAATTGCAGTGGTTTGAATGTGGAAGGAGGATGCCAATATGTAAAAGTTCATAATTTGGGAATTTTATTGCTTAAGTGTGGGAATTTGTGGAATGTGAAAAATCGTTTCCAGATGTCCTGAATGATCTGGATATATTTAATTTGCAAGTTGCAGTCATTTGAAGAAAAGAAGGAGCAGAATGGGGGAAATTGACGGAATAATAAAAGCAAAACATTTGGAGGGCTCATTGCTGTAGAGATCCACGCTCATGAATGCTGTCGATGGAAGTCGACAGAAGTTGGTGGAAAGTCCAATCCCATTTGTATATTGCACATTGCGCGGCGGGCAGCTCGACACCCTGCGCCGGTCCTCCAGTTCATTTGCGTGCATGCTCCTTTTGGACTTAGACCAAGAAGGCCTTCCCACTTGGCCATCTTGGATCTTCATCTTGAGCCGGATCTTACATTTTCCAGTGATCGGTCTTACACCTCCGATGTCCATCTTCCAGCTTGTCCATTTAAGAAATTGTACATGCTCCTAATTCTTCCATTGAACGTATTCTTGGTCATGTTCTTCTACATCTTCCGCTTTGTCCATTTTCTTCCTTCACTTATTTTCTTTGACTTGGTCCATCTGCTATTTTCCAAGGGCTCCATTTTCATCTTGCATCCTTTACTGCGTCGTTTTTCTTCAAACATTCTAATTTCTTCTACTTGGTCCATTCCACACGTTGCCTCTCGTGCTTGTTTGTGGTACTTGAGGGTGTTTTGCGGCGACCTTTCCTGCAGCTTTTCGATGGGCTGCTAAAGTTTCCGCTGCGAGGTTGAATCCGCAAGAATGTTTTGCACGTCAGGAAACGTCGAGCCGCCGAACATCCGCCCGCTGGAAGCTGCGCGGCGTGATGTCCACTCGAGAGATTTGGACACGTCCGTCAAATGAAACGTGAGACACATTTTTCTTGCTGAGCCTGCACACTGCTGCTTCTCGGCCATCCGGGCGACGGGCTGTCAGCCTCGTCACGCGCCAGACGTCGTCTTCACGGTCGTGGTCGTCATCTTCACCTCCGACTCGCTTGGACGTCAAGTGGGCTTTTCCACAATCCTGGCGCTCTCTGCGGAAGGCTTCCTGACACCCGATCATCAATCAACAGTTTGTTGATTACATCATCAATCAGCTTTCACCTCGCAAGTTTGCACCATTTTATCACTCCGCCCCCACACTCGACGGGACTTTCTCCACGTGATGAATGAAGGGGATGATGATATGACAGGATGCATGGATGGATGAATGAAGAACTGACAGGGATGGATGAGCGAATGCCCGAACAAATGATTGGATGATTAAACAGATGAGGAATGGCTGGACATTTGAACACGTGCATGCATGAAGCTTGCTGAATGCACGGATGGATGAATGAAAGAAAAAGAATGAATGGACGGACAAACGGACGGATGGTCGAATGCATGGACGAATGAATGAACCAATAATTGGATGATGAAATGGATGAACAAACGAATGATGGATGAATAAACAGACTGGTAAATGGACGGATGATGGCATGGCGAGGTTGTCGGGCGTTGCCATGGTTACACGCACGGGCCATCCAAGGCAGCGTCAAGAGTTCAGGTGAAGTTCATCAGTGAGCGTATGTAGGACACGCACGCACGCACACTGCTGCGTTCAGGCCCGCTGGGAACAAGCAGCGCCGCTGCCTTGCGAGAGCGTTTGAAGCCGTGCGAAGCGTCAGGCGGCGCGTTAATGATGCTAATGATGCTGCTAATGATGCTAATGAGTCTCCCCAAGCGACCCGCTGCTGCTGCAGTGCATCATGGGACACGTGGGCCACTTGTCGCATGACAAGAAGCGGCGCCTTCATCCGTACGCGCTGCCATACAGGGCAGGTCAAAGGTCAGACCAGCGGGCCTTGAAGACAAACACAAAGGTCTCATGTTAAATAAATACCCGATTGCCTTTAAATGCGTCTTGAAATGAAGAGTGCGATGAAGTGTTTGAAAGTCATACATCCGAAAGGTATTACAGTATGTTATTCGCTGCGTTTGCCTTTTAAAGTAATACATCAAAAGTGCCTTGAACTGTTTCTTTAACTGAGTAATGAAAAGTTGTTTTGTCTTGGAATGAGTTCCTGCAAGTGCTTTTTCGCCTTGTTTTCAAGAATGCATCCAAAGTGTGATGAGAAGACTGTTTAAGGAGTCGGTGCGTTTAAGGTGAGTGTTGCACGGCGTTGCGCGTCTCCTCTGCCGTTGTCCTAACTCGACTCTCGGGCTTATTTGAGAGCTGCCGAGCGGCCAATCAAATCGATGCTCTGCCTCGCTTTCAAGTGCATTCACCTTAAACAACACCCAAACACATCAATGTATGAATAATTCATCAGGTGCGGGCAAAGCACATCACGTATACATTCGAGCCACATCAAATCGAAATCTAATTGGAACGTCATCGTCTCTGCTTCCTTTCTCCTCCGTGCGCTCGAGCGACTCGGGCCGCAGGAGAACGCTCGCTCGTACTCATTGACATTCCCCTCACTGCGGAGGAATGTCCGTGTGTGTGTGTGCATGTGTGTGTGTGTTTTACATGTCCCCACATGACTTCACCTCCACATTGTGAATGTCTGTACACACACGTGCGCACGTGCACACACACACACATACACACACACACACATACACACACACACCTGTTATGTTGACTTTGTGATGACATACTGGCTAAGTTGCCGCAATATAGTGGCCCATACTGTACAGTGAGTCGGCCATTTTGGAGTGCATTTGAACTGTGCAGTGAGGTCATCCTCTATTTGGTGGCCTTGAAAAGCAATATATCCATGATATGTTGCACCGATACAAACAAATGTTTTTTTTTTTTGTTGTTTCCAGGGTTCGCCTCATCTGTTACAACACCGAAGGAGGGAAATGTGGAGCGGAATTTTCGGGCCATGAATACGTCCAAGTAGCCTTCCAACATGACTGATGATCATTTGGAAGTGTGCGTACGGCTCGCTATCAGCAGTTACTGCCTGGATTATCCATCCCTGGCTGGTTGCATTCAATACGAGTCATCAGAGTCAAGCAAGGACAAAAAATGTAAACAAGCTGTGTTACGCAATATGGGTTCACACAGTCCTGTAAGGCCGAGCGACATATACTGTACGTATAACGAATTCTCAATGTATTTACAAATAAATAGAGGTTCTGCTTTTTTTTTTTTTTTTTTTTACTGTAAGCAGATCATGCTGACTTGGTCATTTTCTAAGTCGCCGGCATGCTGCAAAAGTGAGGACACCCTTGGTATAAAGAGAGTACGTATGGCGGTCGGGAGTCAAACGCGTGTCGCAATCGTGCGGCATGATGACATAGTTCATGGAGTGAATGATCAACCGTGTGCAAAAAAAAAAAGAAAAAAAAGCCGATCAAGCTCACCTCAAGTCTTGCAGTGAGTCAGCATCGCTCACGCGGGTTTTTGACTTATGTCCTGTGTGTCTGTGTTTAGATGTCTGGAGAGCAGAAAGTGAGAGGAAAAAAAAAATAATCCAACAGCCACAACAACAAATACTCTATCAAGGTCATCTGCTTGTTGCTGAAATTCACGCAGACGACGACAATGGTGATGATGACGATGATGATGATGCGCACGTGCTTGACTCAGAGAGCAAGAGTGACGGCGCAGACGAGGCCTTCGTGTGTGTGTGTGATGACGTCACCCGTCAACACTTTGATGTGTCAGGACTCGTCTGCTCACCTTCCTCCGCCACACTCCTCATCCTCATCTCATCATCATGATCATCATCATCATCATCCTTGGCGTGAGGGCAGGGTGAAAGGAATCACTGGCCAAAGGAAGAAGAGGCTCTTGAAAATAATAGTCGACATCAGTTCCAAGGAAGGAGTTGGCATGAAGTGCATGTGAACACGAACTTTTGCATCACCACACACACAAACACACACACACATTTAAACACACAAAACCAAATCCAAATACGCAGACATGTACGAAAAACAAAACAAATAACACACACACACACACACACACACACATGCAACTCACACCAAGTGTTACTTAATCAGAATTGAAGAGCGGCGTCTACGGGAAAGAAGATGTCGGAATGTTGAGGAAAGAGACAATGTGAGGCGAATGTTTGTGTTTCGAACAAGTCCAGTAAATGCTGAGTCAGCGCAGGCACTTATGCACACACACACACACACACACACACACACACACACACACACACACACACACACACACACACACACACGGTAGCTGTGTTAGGAGACACCACGGAACGCGTGAACTTGTTGGAGTGGCCAAGCCCCGCCTCCTCCCCACTGGCTGTCACCCATCATTTCCTGTTCCTGTTTGGACATCGGACATATGGCGCTCTGGTGTGCGTACTCAATGAGGTCACGGGCTTTACCCCAACATGCAGACGTGCACACGTGCACACACACACACACGCACGCACGCACGCGCGCACGCACGCACACACACACACACACACACACACACACACACACACACACGGTGTTGTGGTAAATGTTTGTGGCCTCCCTGACGACGACTGAGGACGTGCAGTGACATCACTGCGCGACAAGCGTCACTCGAGGAAGTTGCTCAGTTTGCGTGTTGGGAATCCCTCACAACCACAAAAAATGGGAACTTTATGTGGTCCACAGGTGGAAGGGGAAAAAGCCAATTGGGCATCTGAAGACGGAAATGCTCATCAAACGATGACTCGCTACGGGCTCCCGGCGGCTAATTAGGAAAAGCGCGCAGACGAGTAACGAGTCACACGCTGATGATGTCACACCGTAACCACGTCAGAGCAGATGTCGGAGCCCTTTCTCCTCAGAACTTGTCAGCACCGATAGCACCAACACACACCTTTGACACGCACGCAAAGGCGGAGGCGTTTCCCCGGACATGCTGGGAACACATCACAAAGCTTCGAAAATAGACAACGCGGTCAGAAGAACCACATCAAGCCGCTCGTCTTCATGTGGAGAAGTCGCAGCGGCTCTACTTAGAGTCTCCGGGATGACTGAGCTCCTCAAACTCTCACGCAGTAACCCTTGTGAACCTCTCATAGGCCTTAAGAACCACACTAGAACCTCTGATAGGCCTTAAGAACCACACTAGAACCTCTGATAGGTCACCAGAATCACTTTATACACATAAAAGCCTCAGATAGGATTGCTGTATAAAATCTGCTGGGTCATAAGAGCCACCTTTGAATTTAAGTATTTAGAGCTGCCCTAGGCTGAGCTTCGAAATAGCCTAGAACTTTGGTAGACCTGGAACAGGTCTGAAGAAACACACTATGAACCGGTCTTAGGTTTTGAGACCCATCCTACTAGACCCTTAAGAACCACATTGGAACCTGCTATAGGTCATCTGAAGTTACCGAGAACCACTCTAGGACCTCGGAAAGGGCTTTTATTAGCCAACAAACATCGATCGGTCATTAGAACTAATTTAGAACCTTTTTACATCGATGCCAAACAGACAATATTTTGCTGTGCATCAGATGGCCTTATCGAGGTGGTTTGAATGTTCCTGGAGTCTTTGGAAGCAGCCTTGAACTTGGGCTCGCCTTCAGAGGGAAACCCAGGTTGGTGAATCCCAGCTCACATGAGCTAACACGAGAAAAGTCCAAAATGGTCCAGGATTGGGCTCTAAGGTCTGGCGGGGCAGAAAGAAGAAGGGAAAAAAAAAAAACGGTGAGGTTGAGGGTGGGTGGTCGTCTGCCTCGACCGCATCATCTGGCACTGACGCAGACAGGAAAGATGATGTCTACATCAATGCAGACAGAGTCACGGAAAGTCAAGAGGGAAGTTCAAAGTTGGGACCGCCAAGCCCGGGCTGTGGGGGTTGGTTGATCATCGGGGGTGCTATGGCAGGGTGGTGCTGGGAAAGAAGCAGAGAAGGTAAAAGGGTTAGAGTTGGACGCGCGTGAGTCACAAAGACAGCGGGAGCAAGAGGGAGGGAGGGAGTCTGGCGTCCAGGGACGAGCGCAGCGCGGCATGCGGGGGGAGAGAGAGAGAGAGAGAGAGCGAGAGCGAGCGAGTGCGGTTCCGCCCACCCAGCTGAAAGCATTCAACTAGTGCGCCAAGGATCATTCAAGGATCACTCAGCCGGGAGGAAGCGGAGAGCCGCAAGGATCTTTGCAAAGATCGTCAGGAGCGCCCGCACCACAAGTTGACTCGCTTTGATTCCTCTGCTCCGGCCCGCCTGTGCGCTTTTCCACTGGCAGGACCGATTTGGAAGTTGCCACCTATCAAAAAGTCACCCCCTTTCGCCGCCGACATGTCCGCGCTGACGGCGCTGAGTGGCGCCGTGCTGCTCCTGCTGCACGTGTGCCAGTCGTCTTCGGAGCTGGCCGAGCCCGCTGGGCGCTGCCCCTCCTGCGCCCTGGCCGACGTGCGCGGGAACCCGGGCGCCACAGCCCGGGGAAGCCAGGAAGAGGAGGCGGCCCAGCGGGAAGTGGTGGAGGCGGTCAAGCGACACATCCTCAACATGCTGCACCTCCACGCGCGCCCCAACATCACCCGTCCGGTGCCCCGTGCCGCGCTCCTCAACGCCCTGCGCAAGCTGCACGTGGGACGGGTGGCGGACGACGGCAGCGTGCACATCGAGGGGGAGGCCGAGGGCAGGGGGCGGGTGGGGGGCGACGGTGGCGTGGCCGGAGGGGTCGCGACCCCACCGGCCGCCACCGCCCGGACCCGCGACGAGGACGACGAGCAAGACACCACCGAGATCATCACCTTCGCCGAGCCCGGTGAGTGTGTGGCTGTCGTTCCACTTTGGCTAGCTGGCGCTAACACATGGTAACTGCGTGCTCATTCGCGCGCTGATTCGCCAAGTGCTACGATGGGTCCTTCTCACGCTATGAGAGACAATCTCTGCCTCGGTAACGAACGCTTGACAAAACAGACAACTTTGCTCTTTTTCCCCCCCAATGTTGATTGATGTCATTTTTGAACGGTTTCAATAAATCATTCACTGCCAACCCACTTAATTAAAAAGGGTCCTTGACGCTTATATACGTCAATGGCAGTGAATGAATTAAGTTTTTTTTTCATGCTCAAAATAAGCACAATATTATCACATTATAATCATAAGATGCCAACACAAGCAGAATCAGGTGATTGAACGATTTCGTGTCTCCAAATTTTTGACTGGTGGTCTATTTCTTAGGAGGGAGAATCATGACTCATTTTTGTGTTTTGCTCTTTTTTTTGGGGCGGGGGTGCCATTTGTGATGAACACTTCGGCCCACAGTACGTCACTGCCGTGTTTTTTTTTTTTTTTTTACATTGGTTGGTTATAGAGGTACAGGAATTAATAAATGTCAACTGTTTTGACAGTCGATAAACTGTTTTGAGATAGTGTCGAACTTCAAGTTGTCCAAATCCTCACCATTTCAGGCCCTCGTGGCTCATTCTTTTTCCGCTTCCCGCGGTTGTCTATGAACGCAGGCCAATTCTCTTTCCCTTTCTTCATTTTTAAACATCTGCTTTGACTTTGGGAAACAATCACGATGTTTTTTGGCGGAACTTCTGGCACATCTTACCGACCAAAGATCTACCTCAATCATCATCAGTTTATTTTTATGCATTTCCTGCACTGTCAATTTGTCACTCGTGGAGTGGATAGTATTATTTTGAACACAAATCATCAACTCAGCAAAAAAAAAGTCAGATGTATCTCTTCATAAAATGATCGTGTGGTATTATGACTCCGTATATTCTTAGGTGGTGTAAAAAGTTTGAAAAGCACTCAATTAGGTTTGATCATCTCAAGTAGGCAGGAAAAAAAAAAGATTACATCAACAGACGGTAGAGACATATCCCATTGAGCCAACAGAAGGAGCGTACGAGTTCATCGACTGGCTAATTAAAACCCGATGAAGAGCGTGACAGAAAGTCGCGTCGCCGTGCCCCCAGCGGCCACCGGAGGGCGCCACCCCCATCCAGGGGCCATGCTAGACAGCGATCCCAAAATAGCCTCCGATCAAAAGTGTTGTTGTGCGCTTGAAGGCGACACCGTGAGAAGACGCAGCGGCCTGCCGCTCGCGTCTTTGTCGCCGACAAGCGATGCGTTCATCGACTCGCTAATTAATTGGACAGAGCGAGCCGCCACAGCAAAAAGGAGGCGCGGCGGAATTCTTGGCGGAGATGCTCGCGCGTCCGTTCAGTGGAGCACACACAAAACCTGTCCGTGCATCCGTGCGTGTGCACGTGTGGGGGGCGCGTGTGCGTGCCCGTGAGAGGCACACAGAGGACAATTCAGCTAATTGGACTTAATTGAACACATCATTAGCGACATTCCTCAGAGCACTTTCACGGTTCGGCCTTGTCGGTGAACTCTTTGTTGCTCCTCAGGATTCAAACTGTCAACTTTTCATCCTTCTTTTTCCCCCTCCCATCCTTTTTTTGTCCCTTGCTTTCTTTTGTGGGCGATTTATCGATGCCAGGAAACGTCACGGTCACTCGGAGCAAACGACATCGCTCATGTTCCGAAGCAATCACGTGCCACCGAAGGCAGGTGGGGGCGTGGCCACTTGGGGGCTGCGGTGTCAATCACTGACTTATTCCTGTCTCTTTGGGGAGCTTTTAGGGGTTATGTGTTGCCCTTCAAACTCAGGTGAGCCCAACTTTTCATTCAAAGCCATGAAACTGGTGTCTTGTCATAATCGGAATCACGGAAAAGACGTGCTATCAGGGGTGGGGGGGTGGCCATCGGGAATTTCGGGGAAATATGTGAATTTTCCAGAACGGCCGGTGTATTTCCTGGCCAGTCCTTGGCGTTTACGGCTGCCAGCAGCCATTCCTCTTCCCTCAACGATTGCGTTTCAGCGCGTGACGGCCGCACCCCATCTCGGACAATTTTTCAGATACATGACAGCCGAAGATCCCACACTGACGAGTGACCAGTCCATTCTTTGTCTATATGTGCACAGACATTGAATGGTGACCAGCCTGTTTTGCGGTACGTGCCCTGTAATTGGTCCAGTGCATCGGCGAGCACTTGAGAGACTCCATCTCCGACAGGATCATGATGAGGGAGAGCTTGACGGAAAATGCGTGCGTGCAACTGGAGTTGATTGACAGGACTGAGGAGGGATGGGATTGGCGGTGGTGGGCGTGTCTGGCAATCTTGTTTTCTCTTCCTGTCTGGGAATAATCCCGTCTGCAAGTGAGCTTTGATCCACCCGAGTGGAAAAGCTGGGCCGGCGCAAAGAAGCCGCAGAGAGATGGATGTTTTTTTTTTTCTCCCCCCCCCCCCCCCCACCGATCTTTTTTTTCCCTGCGACGACGGCAAGTACGTTTGAGTCATTTGGCGTGCGGGACATTCCTCTCGTCAGAAGAGCGGACGCTGGCGGCTTTTATTTACCAGCTGTTTCACGCCCATTCTCCTTTGCGTTTTTGAATCCGCAGCGGGGGAGCGCGGGTGCGTGCGTGCGCGCGCAGATTCCATGTGGTGCCAATCAGGCAGAGAGGGCGTGGCCTCGAGTGCACATGTTTGCGCATCCTTTGAGCGTGACGCTCATCAAGGAGGGAATACGCTCGGTCAAAAGCAACAGGATGCTTTTCATGTGGTTGGCTTTCCCAGTAAGGATGAAGAACAAACGCTCAGCTGCATATGGAAGCGTACAGCTGCCACACCGGAAAAACCAAACAAAACAAACTTCAGTCTCACTACTGGAAATTTCACGTCACGATACGGTTCACCGATTAATGTGCTATATTTCAAGTTTGACTTGCACATTTGGGCAAAACAAAGAAGTTGCATGCTTTCTTGTGGTTGAGGACTTTGGCAGAGGTATGCGTCCATTTTTTAAAAACTTTTATCCAAAACTTTTATCAAAAACATTTGTAGGACAGTGATCCTATATTGCAGTTCACCTTTGGTTGTTACGCAGATTTTTTTTTTTAAGTGCGATTCTGTATGCCTTCTTTATATAGTTTACAACCCGCATTGTGTCATCATTGACTTCCTGAATTTTTTTACAGTGCAGTTCTGCATGCTGTTTGTGCAGATCTTATTCTGCGTCCTGATTGGCTAAACTACCGGAGACAAATTTGAATCCATCTTCGCTATTTCTACCAACTTATGACAGGTTCTAAAGTGGTTCTAAAGACCTATCAGGAGTTTTAAGTGGCTTCTAAATACTTGTTGGGAGTCCTAGGCTATTCCAAACGACCTCTCACAGGTTCTGAGATGGCTCAAAAGATTTCTCAAGAGTACGAAGGTATTTGCAATGCGCTGAATGTGGATTCTCTGTTTCGGGTGCTTTGCTCGTGTGTTCCCAGCATGTCGAATGTGCAGTTTGAGCAAAAATGTTCTGTGGGACTTGACGTGCTGCGTGTTGGGTTGCCATGGTTACCTGCCGCTGACCCCGTGCGTCTTGTGTATCGCAGGTGAGGCCCGGGACACAGTGACGTTCGTTCTTTCCAAAGATGGCAGCGGCGAGGTGTCTCTGGTGGAGCAGGCCAACGTGTGGCTTTTCCTGCGATTGGCCAAGAACAACCGCAGCCGCACCAAGGTGGCCATTCGCCTGTTCCAGCGTGGCGCCGCCTCGTCCTCGCCGCAGGACGACGTTTTGTTGACCGAGAAGACGGTGGACACCCGCCGCAGCGGCTGGCACACCTTCCCGGTGTCGGCGGCGGTCCAGGCACTTCTGGAAGGCGGCGGCAGCGCGGCGCTCAGCGTCAGGGTGTCCTGCCCGCTCTGCGCCGACTCCGGCGCGACGCCCGTGCTTGTGTCCGGCGGCGGTGCGTCGCAGCAGCGCGCCAACCGCCGGGAGCCGTCCCAACGGGAGCAGTCGCACCGGCCCTTCCTGATGGCGGCCGTGCGGCCCGAGGACTCGGGCGACTCGCGGCGTCGGCGCAAGCGAGGCCTGGAATGCGACGGCAAAGTGCGCGTCTGCTGCAAGCGCCACTTCTACGTCAACTTCAAAGACATCGGCTGGAACGACTGGATCATCGCGCCCGGCGGCTACCACGCCAACTACTGCGAGGGCGAGTGCCCGCCGCACGTGGCCAGCATCACCGGCTCGGCGCTCTCCTTCCACTCCAACGTCATCAGCCATTACCGCATGCGGGGCTACAGTCCCTTCGAGAACCTGCGCTCCTGCTGCGTGCCCACGCGGCTGCGAGCCATGTCCATGCTATACTACAACGAAGAGCACAAGATCATCAAGAAGGACATCCACAACATGATCGTGGACGAGTGCGGATGCTCCTAGATGCTCCTGAACGCTAATTTGGTCGCGTCAGGCAGCCGCACCACGTCGGGTCACGTCCGTCCTTGGGGCACTTTCAGACAAAAAGAAGTAAAAAAATGCCTTCTAAATTTAGCACATTCCAGACAAGAGTGTGGTTTAAAAACTTATTTTAAAAAAAAAAAAAAAAAAAAAAAAAAAAGAATATTAATATATTTTTGTTAAAGAATGGAGTGGACGTGGCCTATTTGCGAGTCCTAACTGAGACCATGTTGGCGGCGGCGGCGGCGGCGGGGCTGACACGCCACAAACTATGCAACTTGTTTGAATACAGTGAACCCCCGTTATCGCGCGGGATTCGTTACAACACTCACCTGCGATCCGGGGAAATTTGCCGTACAGAAAGAACGTTACAAACGCACATTTGTTTCCTATTTGAAAGGCTTGCTTCGTGCCAATTTCCCCTCTCGCGCCGTCAAGAAATGAACATGACTTTGAGGGAACAAAAACAAGCCAAGTCTCTTGCTAGCAGTTCCCAACTTAAGACGCACAGAGTGTTTGCTTCAAGCTGTTTCTTGGTCACTGCCGCTGAATGGCGACGGTCAAACTGGCACGTCGAACAAAACGGAGTTATGACTTCTGTATTGAAACACCAAAACGTTCAACCAAACCAGATAATAATGAATGTCGGCTTGCGCAATGCATAGGACGTGAAAGGCCATAGACGGGCTAACGGTATCTCTTCCAGTCGAGCTCCGTGCCGCCTGGCATGTTCTTGAAAAACGCGACGCGCCAATTCGGTTCAAAATTGCCCCACCCTGAACAACCTCGCTTGAAAATTTGACATCTCGCGGAGATGTAGACACTGAACGGCGATATTTTGGGGGATTCACTGTATTAGCAACTTCCTCTTTTTCCTTTTGTTTGCCGAGTCTTCTAAACGCACCAGGAAGAAAGATGGACTCTCTGTGCGCGAGTGCGTGCGTGCGTGTTGAGATTACTTGAATGAAACAAGTTGGCTTGGCTGCTGGAACCAAACACTTCTTTGTTACCATGGTTACCGTGTTCTGATGTTTACTGTTACTAAATATGAATAATATTATTGCCCATGTTGATAATAATGATGACGATAATGTTACGTGTTGTTGTTTGCGAAATGTTTTTGCACTATAGCGAGACTCCAGGTCACAGGTTTGATCCCTGCCTTCAAAACACACAAAATGTCTGCTGACATCACTTGCAACAACGTTAGCATAGCAACCACCCGCTAGCTGTGCGTGAAACTGTTTGATTGGTCAAATTTCTTTCACTTTTACTTTTTTTCAGACACCAAAGAGGCTGGAGGGCGTGCGTGCGTGCGTGCGTGTGTGTGTGTGTGTGTGTGTGTGTGTGTGTGTGTGAGT